GAATTTTCTAGGTATATAATTATATCATCAATTTGGACAGATACATTGACTTCTTTTCCTATTTGGATTCTGTATTAGTCCATTCGCACACTCTAAAGAAACACCTGAGTCTGTAATGTATAAAGATTTTTAATTGTCTCATGGTTCTGCAGGCTGTACAGGAAGTATGACTGAGGGTGGCCTCAGGAACCCAACAATCATGACAGAAAGGGAAGCATCATGTCTTACAGAGCAGGAGAAGGAGGAAGAGAGAGGAATGAGGTGATACGTACTTTGAAACCAGATCTCCTGAGGACTATCACCAGAACAGCACAAGAGATGGAGACCCATCCTCATGATAGAATCATCTTTCACCAGGCCCCACCCCCAACACTGGGAATTACAATTTGACATGAAATTTGAGTAGGGGCACTAGTACAAACCATATCAGCTGCCTTTTATTCTTGCTATTACCTGGTTGCTCTGACTAGGATTTTCAGTGCTATGTTCAATAGGAGTGGTGAGAGAGGGCATCCTTGTCTTGTTTCAGTTCTCATGGGGTTTGAGCTTTTCCTCATTCAGTATAATGTTGACTGTAGGTTTGTCATAGATCGCTCTTATTATTTTGGGGTGTATTTTTTGATGCCTACTCTGCTGAGGGTTTTCATTACAAGTGAGTGTTGGATCACATCAAAAGCTTTCTCAGCATCTATTGAGATAACATGGTTTTTGCCTTTATTCTGCTTACACAATGAATCAGTTATTGATTTGTGGATGTTGAATAAACCTTGCATCCCAGCGGTAAAACCCACTTGATCATGATATATTACATTTTAAAATGCTTCTGGATTCCATTTGATAGTATTTTATTGAGAACTTTTAGGTCTGTGTTCATCAGGAATATTCATATGATGTTTTCTTTTTAAATTATGTGTCTTCCTGATTTTGTATGCCAAGAAGAAATAGTGAAGAAAGACAGTCTCCTCAGTAAATGATGTATAACTGGACATCCATACACAAAATAAATAAAATTAGACCTTCTTTTACACCATGTACAAAAATCAACTAAAAATGAACATAACCTGAAACCACAGACTCACAGACAACATGGAAAAAACTTCCTGTCAGTGATTCAGAAATGATTTATTTGAATTTAATAGCAAAAGCACAGGAAAAAAAAATATGCACAAATATTAAACGACTTGATAAAAGGGAAAAAACCTTGATAGACTTTTTTTTCAGATAACACACTCATGAAAAACTGAGCCTAAAAAGGTTCTCAACATTACTAATTTTCAGAGAAATTCAAATCTAAAGCACAATGAAATATTTCCTCAAACCACTTAAAATGGCTATTATCAGGAAGACAAAATATAACGAGTGTTCACAAGAATGTGGGGAAAGGGAATACTCATATGGTGTGGTAGGATTGGTTACTCAATAAATTGAAAAATAAAGTTATCATATGATCTGGTGATCCCACTTCTTGTTATATATTCAAATGAAATAAAATTATTATGTTAAACACACATTCCCTGCCAGATTATTTGTGAAAGAGTTTAATGACCATAGATTAATGAATGTTTAAAGAAAATGTGTACACACAAAACCCGAATTTTATTCAGCTTTGAAAAGAAGGAAATTCTGGCATTTGCAGCAACACGGATGGGCCTGGAGGACATAGTGCTAAGTGGAATACGCCAGATGCAGAAAGACAAATGCTGCATGATCTCATTTACATGCGGGATCTAAAATATCCAAGCTCTTGAAAGCAGAGAGTAGATTAGTGGGTCCCAGGACCTGGGAGGAGAGGGAAATCGGGTGATGTTAGTCAAAGGGTACAGAGTTTCAGTTGTGTGGGTGAATGAGTTCCGGAGATCTAATGTACACCAATTTTCCTGGATTTACTACCGTATTGTAAAAGTGATTTTTGCTAAAAGGGTAGATCTTAGGTGTTCTCACGAGACACACACACACACACAAACTCACATGCAGTACATTTTAAAAATAATAAAATGGTCTGGGCGTGGTACCTCATGTCTGTAATCCCAAAACTTTGGGAGGCCGAGGCAGACAGATCTCTTGAGGTCAGGTGTTCGAGACCAGCCTGGCCAACATGGCGAAACTGTCTCTACTAAAAGTACAAAAAAAAAAAAAAAAAAAAAAGCGCCAGGTGTGGTGGTGGGCTCCTGTAATCCCAGCTACTCGGGAGGCTGAGGCAGGAGAATCACTTGAACCCAGGAGTTGGAGGTTGCAGTGAGCCGAGGTGGTGCCATTAAACTCCAGCCAGGGCGACAAGAGCAAAAGTCCGTCTCAAAAAACAAACAAGCAAGCAAAAAATGGTAGCTCTGTGAGAAGATGAATATACAAATTACCTTGACTATGATGAACATTTTACAATGTGTATCTGATATGGTTTGAATCTGTGTCCTGGCCCAAATCTCATGTTGTATTATAATCAATCCTGAAGTGGAACCTGGTGGGAGATGACTGGGTCATGGGGCGGGGCTTTCATTAATAATGGTTCAGCACCGACTCCTGGTGTTGTTCTCACGGATGTGCATGAGTAATCACAAGATCTGGTTGTCTAACAGTGTGTAGTCCCCCCCACATGCCTGCCTGCTTCCTGTGGCTACTGCTCTGGCCATGTGATGTGCCTATCCCCTTTGTCTTCTGCCATGATTCTAACTTTCCTGAGTCTCCCCAGAAGGAGAAGCCACTGCACTTCCTGTACAGGCTGCAGAACCGTGAGCCAATTAAACATCCTGTTTTTTTTTCAAATTACTCAGTCTCAGGTATTTTAGATAGCAGGGTGAGAATGGACTAATAGATACCAAAACAAGAAGTGGTGCACCTTAAACCTATACATTTTAAAAAAATTTTTATTTCTACCTCAATAAAACTGACAAAATTTAAACTTACTCTTACAACAAAGAAAAACGTATTTCATATTTTCTCAACAAAAGTGAGACAACATAGTTAGAAAAACTTACACTAAGGTACTTATAACAGCTTTGCTTATAATATTCATATACTGGAAACAAATATAAAGTCCATTGACAAAAAATAGATCAATGTATTGTCATATATTTACTTAATGGACTGTCTCAGATATAAAATCTCTGTCCTTCCTCCCTCTCTCTCTCTCCATATACACATGAAGACTTTGAGGTTTCATATCAGAGTGAGCCCATTAATTGAATGAATGACACTATGTTGATCTAATTTCATACATTAAATAACATGAATTAACCTAAAAAACAGCAAAGTAGCTCCTTACCAAAAAAAGGTCTATAATGTTTGAATCCATTTATATGAAGCTCAAAACAGAAAAAAATGGATCTATAGTGTCAGAAATCAAAACATTTCCCCATATAGGTGTTGACCACAGGCACGAAAAAGACACATGTTGAGGGGATGGACTTGCTCTTCAGGCTGCCTTAGGTGTTCGGGACAAGGGCATTCACATTTGCCAGAAACTCTCTAGTGACACATTTCAGATCTATGCATTTTTTCTCATATGTAAATTTTATCTCATAAAAACAAAAAATAAAAGTGTAGACTAGTTCAAAATTCAGTAAATAATACAATGAATATTAAAACCCTATCCAAAACATGAACATTATTATATGAATTAATAAAATGTATTTCAGTATACCTCCTAAAATTAAATCCCAGAAATAAGATAACAGTAACACCAGAAACTTAATAATTATTAGCATACATTTCATAGAGAAGAAAAAATAGTCAAGATAGATGGAACATGTAGTTTTTTCCAATCATATGTCATTAAATTATTTATACAATATCTAACCTGTATCATTAGTATAAATTGTTAATGTTTTGTGTGGTATTATAACTGAGAACAACTTTTAAAGAAGGAAAGGGTATTTGAGAGCACATGAACTAAATTGAATGCATTCTCAATGCTGGTCCAACACTTACACCTCAAAGTTCTAATGATACCCTGGTTTTGAGTGGGACTTTGGAAAAATTATTTTTAAGGGATAAATTAAAAGAATAATCTGTAATACAGAGGCGTTGGCATTCCATGTGAGAAAAAAATTGAAAATATGTAATACATAAAATCCTGAATAGAAACCTTGAGGTATGAGAAGCATCTCATGTGTAGTAGCCTGTAATGTGTTTATTGTTAAAATTATTATTTTGGCCGGGCACGGTGGCTCAAGCCTGTAATCCCAGCACTTTGGGAGGCCGAGATGGGCGGATCAGGAGGTCAGGAGATCAAGACCATCCTGGCTAACACGGTGAAACCCCGTCTCTACTAAAAAATACAAAAAATTAGCCAGGCGTGGTGGCGGGCGCCTGTAGTCCCAGCTACTCGGGAGGCGGAGGCAGGAGAATGGCGTGAACCCGGGAGGCGGAGCTTGCAGTGAGCTGAGATCCCGCCACTGCCCTCCAGCGTGGGCGACAGAGCGAGACTCCACCCCCCCAAAAAAAAAATTATTATCTTTATGTTGTTTTGAAAAACTAAAGCAAAGCATAATGAAATTAAGTGTTTTGTGCTTATCTGTTACAACAGCATGTAGAGAAAACTGAATAGCCTTGTAATCCTGAGGAGATGGCCTAATCCAAGGAGAGGCCTCAGATTAAAAAATACTTAATTAAAATTTCATTAGAAATTGAGAAATTTTGGTTGTACTCCATATGTTGATGGGGTACAAAGCTATGTTATGACTTATAAATGCAATATAGAATAATTGAATCGAGCTAATTGACATATATATCACCTCAAGTCCTCAAATACTTATTTTTTGGTGACAAGAACATTTGAAATTTGTTCTTGGCTGTTTTGAAATGACCAATACACAATATTGCAACCTTATAAGGCTCCAGAGTCCTGCAAACACAAACCCGCCCCCGGCAGCTGAGAAAGGAAATCAATCGTTCCCCTGCACAGTTCCCGTCCTCAGTGGGTCCCGAGCGCCCCCTGGAGGCCCCGCGCGCCCCTGCAGGGAGGTTTGTGTCTGGGCTCACACTGACCTCGCCTCACTGTGTCTCTAGCACAGTAATACACGGCCGTGTCCTCGGTTTTCAGGCCGCTCATTTGCAGGTACAGTGTGTTCTTTGAATCATCCCTTGAGATGGTGAATCTGCCTTTCACAGACGCGGCGTATTCTGTCGTGTGACTGTTAGCTTTGTTTCTAATACGGCCAACCCACTCCAGGCCCTTCCCTGGAGCCTGGCGGACCCAGTCCATGTAGTGGTCACTGAAGGTGAATCCAGAGGCTGCACAGGAGAGTCTCAGGGACCCCCCAGGCTGGACCAAGCCTCCCCCAGACTCCACCAGCTGCACCTCACACTGGACACCTGCAAACACAGAGACACCTGGTCAGAAACTGCCACCCATAGCCACTGTTTCTCTCACTCATATCCACTCACACTCAACATCTCTAGTTCTCCGTAAATCACCTTTTAAAATAGCAACAAGGAAAACCCAGCTCAGCACAAACTCCATGGTGAGTCTTCTGTGTTTGGTGCTGATCACCGAATGAAAACACCTGAGAATTCGGGGGCTGGACTCTGCTCTCGGAGCTGCAGGGTCAGGGCTGGGCTGGATTTTATCAGCAGAGAGTGGATCCTATTTGCATGTCTCCTACTATATAGCAAGCTCTGGGGTGGGACGCCTGAGAGGAGAAGGCAGTGTCCAGAGCGGATGAGAGTGTCCTGGAAAACATGGGCCCTAATCCTATCTCTCAGGAAAGTATAACTTCAGATTATGCGATTGTGCCTTGATAATCATTTAGCAATCATCATCTTATTTTATTTTTACATATTTGCAGAATATATTAATTGAAGTGTCAGTGTTATACTTTAAAGAAGATAAATGACATTCAGAACCGAGCAGTTGTGCAGTGTGTCCAATATCACACATCTGGCCAGAGTTAGCCCTGTTGTCTGTGCCTGTGCCTCTAAGCACTGGAGGAGACTGCTCCCCTGAGACACCTCCAGGGCGCTGTGGGACATGCCTGTCATAATAACTTTATGTGATTTTGCTTCCCTAAGTTTTGAGGTGGGGCCTGGTGGTTGTAGCATGGGGGTGGATTTATAATTAATGGTCAGCACCATCCCCTTGCTGTGATAGTAAATGAGTTCGCATGAGCTTTGGTTGTTTAACTGTGTAGCAGCTCCACCCTCACTCTTTCTTTGCTTCTGCTCCCACCATATAAAATGGCTGCTCCCCTTTTGCCTTTCACTATCATTGTAAATTTCCTGAGGCCTCTCCAGAAGCTAAACAGATTTATCATCATGCTTCCTGTACAGCCAGCAGAATCATGAGTGAATTAAACCTATTTTCTACATGAATTGCTGAGTTTCAGGTATTTCTTTCTAGCAATGTGAGAACACACAAGTAAACTGGACATCTCCCTCATTTCACCAGGGTCCCCCGCAGCCTGCAGCCCCCCAGCTAAGGAGGGGAATGGTCCAATCTCCATCACTGACACCATCGAGGTGCTGCCTCAGACCCAGATGGTTTGTGATGGATGTCAGTTTACTAATGTTGAGTTCTGGGAGTATAATGCCCTCCTCCCCCATGCCTCACAGATGAAGAAGCCATCCTGTGATCAACTCTCTCTACTTCTGTCTGAACCCATTTCTAAGTGTCAGCAATTCTGCAGTGGTGGAATCCCACTTTGTGGCGTGCTTCCTTATTTCAGGTGGGGAAATGTCTTCGGGGGCTAGCCTCTGCTGGTGCAGTTGGCCCATTTTCACCTTGGTGGTAGCCAGCAGATGTGTAGAGAGGACAGGGACCCCCATGGACTTACCCCAATCTTCATCCTCCTCCCCGTAGAGCTCTTCATGGGAACTGGGTCTTAGAGTCCCATGACAATTTAGTCATCATAGCCCTCACTAATTCACGTATGGTCAGAAATCCTTCAAGTATGCTCCTCAACAAGCCGCAGTCCCCAATTCACCATTCTGCTTCCATAGGCAGGACAGAAAGGTCTCTGATTAGTCTGAGCTGGTCTGGCATGTTTTTCTAGGAGTAGCTCTTCTTATGACTGACACACTGTAGCCTACACGGTGAGCTCTGTCTCAGTGGCTGCTCAGAGTGGAGTCAGGAGGAAACAGCCACCTGAAAACGCAACATCTTGGGCATCTGACTTTCACTTTGTAAGATGCACCCACTGAAGTGGTTCTTCCAGGACTTTTGGTGTTTGGTAGGATCCCCATACTCACGCACTAGGCCCCATCCATCATGGATAGCAGATGTTGGGCCCTACATAGAAATTAGCAGCCTGCACAGGGTTTCTGCAGGGGTCTCCTCATTTTAGATTTCCATTTTCTGGGTGATCATGTGATTTTTTGACGTTTTTTTCCAGGTTCACTGGGTGTCATACCAGACCAATATTGACTCCAATAGGACTGGCATCATGTACAACAGACCAAGGAAATAAACCCAGATCAGTGAACAAGACATAGAGTTTATTGAGGACTTTCATACAGTGTGGCTCAGGAACAGCAGGCTGGACAAGAAAACTACAACCATTTGACACAAAGCATGCAGCTTATGTAGTCATTTTTACTTAACACCCTCCACCTATCAACTCCATTTAACCCAAAATAAAGAGCCTCTATCACCTGTAAGTCCTGTGTTCTAAGGGATATGCCAGGAGTTTGGATGTTATCCATTGATTAAAAAATGAGTCTCTGGGTACTCCATTCCTGGATTCCTTAGCTTGGAACTTGAAACGTACATTTCTTTTTTCTTTTCTGATTATTCTGGCTAGGACTTTCAGTAATATGTCGAATAGGAGTGGTGAAAGTGTGCATTCTTGTTCACATTCTTCAGGAATATTTTTGCAACTTTTTCTCATTCTGTATGATGTTGTTTTGTTGTATGTGGCTTTTTTTTTTTCCAGTTAAAGTCATTCATTCCTTCACTACCAAGTCCAGCATATTGAATAAATCAGTTGCATAGGTTTTTACAAAATTTAAGAAGATCCCTGTTCTATTGATTTCTTTAAGAGTTTTTGTTGGTTTTTGTATGTGGCTTTTATTATTTTGAGTTAGGTTTCTTTGATGCTAAGCTTGTTGAGGAATTTTTCACGAAGGGACATTGAATTTTATTGAATGACTTTTTTGCATCCATTGAGATGGTCTTATGTTTTTGTTTTTAATTATGTTATATGTTGAATCATATTAATTGATGTGTCTACTTGAGACAAGATTTGCATCCCCGGAATAAAACCCAGTTGGTCATGATGTATTATCTTTTTATTGCGCTGTTGTTTTCAGTTAGCTAGTATTTTGTTTACTATTTTGTGTCTACGTTCATTAGGGACATTCCCTTGTAGGTTTTTGTTGTTGTAGTTGTATCCTTGCCTGATTTTGGTATCAAGTGATACGAGTTTTTAGACAAAGCTGGGAAATACTCTCTTTAATCTTTTGGAATAGTTCCAGTAAGAATGGTACATCTGGTAAAATTAGACCTTGAATTTATCTGGTTCTGGGCTTTGGCGGTTGGGAGATTTTCAATTTCTGATTCAATCTTATTACCCGTATTGGTCAATTTAGGATTTCTTTTCCTTCCTCGTTTAATTGTGGGAGGTGTTGAATATTTCCAGAAATTTATTGATTTCCTCTAGATTTTCTAGCTTGTGAGCATGGAGATATTCAGTATATTTTGATAATCTTTTGTATTTTCGTTGGGTCAGTTGTAATACCAGCTTTATCGTTTCTGCTTGTGCTTATATGAATCTTCTGTGGTTTTTTTTTTTTTTTGGTTGACCTCGTTAGTGCTCTATCAATTGTGTTCATCTTTTAAAATAACCTCATTTTATTTTGTTGATTTCTTATATTTTGCTTTTTTGTTTCAATCTTTTTTAATTCTGCTATGATCTTTATTTATTTTCTTCTTCTAGCTCTGGGGTTGGTTTGTTCTAATTTATCTAGTTCCTTTGAAGTAAATCAGTAGACTGCAGTTTGTAATCTTTCTATTTTTTAGTAGACATTTAGAACTATAAGCTTCCCTCTTAGTACTGGTTTTCCTGTATCTCAGAGGGTTTGGTATGTTGTATCTTCATTTTTCTTTGTATTTTTAAAAATTAATATCTTAATTTTATTGGTGAGCCAATGATTGGTCAAAATTGTATTGTTAAATTGCCTCATATTTTTAGTTTCAACAGTTTTTTGCAATTGATTTTTAGATTTATTCCATTACTGTGCAATAAAGAACTAACATCTAGAATCTAACAAGAACACAAACAACTCAGCAACAGCAACAGATAAATGAATTAAACCATTAAAATGTGGGCAAAAGACATCAATAGACATTTTGTGAAGAAGATATTCAAATGGCAAAAAAGCACATGGAAATAAAAAGCTGAACAACACTAATCATCAGATAAATGAATATTAAATCAACAGTGAGACACACTTTACATCAGTCAAAGTGCCTATTATTATGAAGTCCAAAAATTATAGATATGGATGGGAATTCAGAGAAATCACATTTACACACTGTTGTTGATAATGCAAATTAGTGCAAACTGTGTGAAAAAAATTGTAAAGACTTGTCTACTAAAAATAGATGTATCATTCAATCAGCAATCCCACTCCATGATATGTACCCAAGAAAATAAATCATTGTGTCAAAAAATGCCTGCACTCTTATGTTCATTGCAGCGCTATTTACAATAACAAAGATACAGAGTTAACCTAAGTGTCTAGGAATGGATAATTGGATAAAGAGGATGTGGTGTATATACACAATGAAAAATAATTTCATCATAAAAAAGCATGAAATTATATCTCCAGCAGCAATATGGATGGAACTGGAGGTCATTGTCTTAAGTCTAACAGCTCATAAAAACAGAAAGCCAAATATGTCTTTTTCTCACTTATCAGTAGGAGCCAAATAATGGGTACACATAGACACAGAGAGTTGGATAATAGACATGGGAGACTCATAAGATTTGAGAATGAGATCAATGATCACTTAATGGTTCCAAGGTACTATATCTGGTGAGCTTACTTTAAGAAGTCAGACTTCATCACTATGCAATATATTTATGTAACACAAATGTATCCCACATAATTATTTAAAAACTTAAAAAGGCTATTAGCCCTTTGTCAGATGAGTAGATTGCAAAAATTTTCTCGCATTCTGTAGGTTGTCTGTTCACTCTGATGGTAGTTTCTTGTGCTGTGCAGAAGCTCGTTAGTTTAATTAGATCCCGTTTGTCAATTTTGGCTTTTGTTGCCTTTGCTTTTGGTGTTTTAGACATGGAGTCCTTGCCCATGCCTGTGTCCTGAATGGTATTGCCTAGGTTTTCTTCTAGGGTTTTTATGGTTTTAGGTCTAACATTTAAGTCTCTAATCCATCTTGAATTAATTTTTGTATAAGGAGTAAGGAAGGGATCCAGTTTCAGCGTTCTACTTATGGCTAGCCAGTTTTCCCAGCACCATTTATTAAATAGGGAATCCTAATATCCGGAACCTACAAAGAACTCAAACAAATTTATAAGAAAAAAACAACCCCATCAAAAAGTGGGCAAAGGATATGAACAGACACTTCCCAAAAGAA